CGCCGCTGCCGGCCCGAGGAGGGGAGCGCTGGGCAGAGGCTGGGGACGGCAGAGCCCTGCTGATCGTGACGGGGCTATTTATACTGACACAGCATCTGTGCGGCTCCTCCAGAAGTGTTCCAGCATCCCCAGCAGCTGATCCCAGAGGAGGAGGGGAAGCAAAGTGGGCTGGAGAGGAGCAGGGCCCAGTGGGGAGGCAGCACACTGGATCCCGCGGTTTTCCAGAGCTGGAGCAACGTCGGGGGGCAGGTGGGAACCCCCTGAGATGTGTGTGCATGGTGCCACGACGTCACCTGCCCCGGCGTCCCGGTCCCCAGCACACTCACCAGCTCGATGCCTTGGGGAAAGGGGTTGTCCTCCCAGTCCTTCTCCGGGAAACGCTGGAGTATCTGTCCCTGGCCATCCCCACTCCCTGCAGAGACAAGACGGGGATTAGAGGGCAGGCAGCGGGGACCCCGCCGGCATTTCCACCTCCCCTACGGCCAGGCTGGAAGCAGCCCCAGGACGCTCCGGCGCTGCCTCGGCCCCTCCACAGGCAGCAGAGGAGAGACCCCAGCCCCTGCCCCAAACACAGCTGCAGGGCAGCACTGCCCCCGCCGCTGGGAAAAGCCGCAGTTTTAATAGCTGTGAGCAAACAGCCCACAGACTCATTATCTAAAGGCGTGTAACGAGCAAAGCAGAAGGGCAGCAGGTCTCCGGTCAAGTTTAAGTTCAAGTTCCCTTCCTTGTGTCGCTAACACAAGATCATCTGTATGGATTTCGAGTTGTAATTCACTGCTCATCATCCACAACCTGCCACTCGACACCTTCCCTGAACGAAGACGGCATTGTGCCGCCCGGTTTGACTCTCGGGTTCCCCCGGAGCTGTCGTTTCCCGGTGGCTTTACGGCACCTGGAGCCTGACCCACTACCACAATGAAAAAACCTGCTCTTCACCCAGATCTCACCCTGCTCTGCTGAGCACGGCAAAAGGTGCACTGGGGAGCGGGCCAGCTCTCCCCACGGCAACCGGCCGCTTAGATTAAAACCCTGCGCCGGTGCCTCAAACCGGAGTCTGGGAATTGAAAACCCTGTGGAGGATTTTGTTCCTACCCCAGGCTGGGTGCAGCTGAGAAGTGGGGCAGGTCCCTCAGCTCCCTGCAGAGCCGCTGCGGGATCACCTCATGCCCAGCACAGCTGGCTCTTGGCCCCGGGGCTGCCATCGGAACAAGGTAATGGCAGGAGCCCCCCCCAGAAGCCCTGCAGCGCCCAAGGACTATTTTCGGCACCTCTAGACCTGTTTAGACCTTCCCACCAGCCAGCCACAGCTGGATTTAGCAGGACAAGGCATCAGCAAAAAATGCCACTTTTAGTACGAGGACCAAAATGGAAAGGTCAGTGCCAAGCTGCGGAGAAAATAGCATCCAGTGTCAGGTTAACCAAATGTCCCCCGCCGTGCCCAGACACCTCCTCTCCCCTCTGGGACAGGTCCCCAGTGCCGCATCAGTCGCTGCACGATGCTCCGGGTCGCAGGCATTGAGTCAGACCCGCCTCCCCCCAGTGCAAACCCCGCGGCTGAGGCTTCACCAGGAGGAAAAACCCTTCCAGACACAGGTCAGAAATACCGCTCTTACCGGGCTGCCCCGGCAAGCTCCCTGAGACCCCCGCGCTCCCCGACACCTCGCTCCAGCAGCCCTGCCGCCAGCGCAGGCATCTTACGCGTCGCGGGGGAAACAGGGACGAGATCATCCTTGACGCAAACCTACAAATCACCCCAGGAGCTGTTCGGCGCAAGACGAAACTTGACCCCCTGGTTTTTCCCAAAGCCAAGTCCTGCTGCGTTATTCAGCGATCCGTGGGCTACCCAATCCTGGTTTTAGCCACGGGCACTACCGAGCGGCCCGACCTGCGGCCAGCTGGTGCTTTCCCTGGGCACTCCTTCGGGGCCTGATCCTCGCCCTCTGCTCCCCACCCTCTGACACAGGCTGCCCCATCCCTTCCTGCGGGGGAGAGCGGGCCCAGCCATGCTGCCCCTCCTGCTCCCGCCAGCCGTGTGCCCGGGGAAGCACGTGTGCCTGCGAGCGCCGGCGCTGGCGCAGCTGCTGCGCCCCGCGGCTTCCTTCCTGCCCCCTCCAGTCACCACGACTGAAGGTGACACCTGGTCACTGTTCTGGGGTGGCCCGTTACGGTCTAAATTAGCGTTCAGCTATATTTGGAAGTTTATGAGATGTTATCGTAATACAGGAAATTCTAAATAAGCAAAAAGTTAAACACTCAGCTGACACAAGGCGACCAGATGAGCTCAGCTCCCGGGCAGGCCAGCGGCTGGCACGCTGGGGACGCTCTCCGGGAACGGCCGGTTCTCAGGCCGGGGGGGTCACGGCCAAGCGAGAGACTCCCCTCCGCTTCCCGCGCTCTTGGTGTCTCCTAAACAACGCAACAAGAGCAGCTCGGAGTGAATGTCCTGCCCGAGGACTAAGGCAGGGCTCCACCTCCTGGGCCCTGGGGCCATGTACCCAGTCCCCCGCAGAGAGGTGACCACCTTCCCTGGAAAACCCACCCAGCAACCACCCACCAGCTCCCAGGAAAACGGCTGTGGGCTGGCGCTGCCACGGAGCTGCAGGCTCTGGCTGACAGGAACCCAACCATGCAGCAGCTTCTCCAGCTGCTTCAGGGGCTGGGCCTTCTCCATGGAGCCTGCCACCACGATGGAGCCAGGAGAGTCGCAGGAGAAGTGAATTTTCATGTGGTTTTGTGACTTTATTTGGAACACGTCCTTTTCCAGTGCTCGCAACTGAAGCACTCTGCCCTCTGGTTCCTGAAGGCACAGGAGGGTTCCACCAAGCAATACGGTACAACCAGTACAGTCAGTCTCACCCAGCCTCCCTGCAGGCTCAGACACGACTCCCACAGCCCTGAACCTCGAAAACTCGGTGTGATATAACACGGGAACGTGAAGCTCACAAGTCCCCAGGATGCGAGCAGGAGGAGGCTCAGCCCTCCCTCAGCTCTGGCGCCCAGCACAGACCCTGGGGGGCACCTCGCTCTGCCAGGGGGGAGCGGTTCCACCACAGAAACACTCCACCAGGTCCCCCCAGGTCCAAGGAGATGGACCCCGGCTCCAGAGATGCTTCAAGTGTCGTCAGCGGAGGCTTCCGAGAGATGCTCTGTATCTCAAAGCAGAAATTATTTAAGAAGTTTAGCTGTCATCAAATCCTTTATACGACAAAGCACCGACCACAGTTAACTGAAGTGGTTTCCTGCAAAATGATATTAACCCGCAAGGCTCAAGGCCGTGAAACGCAGCCGGTGAGGGGCCCTGCAGTCTCTGCCAAGACACTTGGTGCTCGGCTGCGCGGGGAGCGACGCGGCGTGGCCCAGCCCTGCCAGCAAACCCGCCCCGGCCCCTCACCAGGCCCCCCCTGCCCGCGGGTCGCTGCCGGTGCTCCTGGAACCCTCCCGGGGCCACAGACGGGACCGAGCAGCACCTGGGCAACAACCAGGAGCCGTTTTACATTATGGTCTGTGAAACCTGCCAGCACAGCCCACGGCAACACTCCCCTCCGCCTGCAAAGCCAGGAGGGGGCTGCGGGCACGAGGGCGCGGGACGGCCAGTGACAAACGGGGCATGGTGGTGTTGGGGAGAAACATGCACTCTGCAGAGAAGCCCTGTGCAAGGGATTCTCACCCCAAAGGAGCAGCTTGTATTTACAGAACCACAGAATCATCTGCGTTGGAAAAGACCTTGAAGATCATCTAGCCCAACCGTACTTAGGACAGGCCAGCACCTGACAGTCCAGGATGGCTGCAATTCAAACTCAAACGCACTACGCTCAGCGGCTGTGACAAACGGTGACGAGGCGGGATGAGGAAGGACGTGATGAGCAGAGCGAGGTGCCGGAGGCTCCGGCAGCTCCATGCTCCCCCTCTGCTGCTTTGCAGGGCGAGGGGGAGCAGCACATCCTCACCACACTCCCTCAGAGCTGCACCCAAGCCAGATCACACTCCAGCACCCAGCTGCGTGACGCCTGTGACAGGAAAGCAAAGGCAGGAGTTTCCCCGGGCACACGCCTGCCCGGCGAGCAGGAGAGCTCTGCCAGGGCGAGGGGCCGAGGCTGCCAGCCCTGCCAAGCTCCGGCAGGCGCTGGGGGCTGCGGGCCGTGGCTCACCGCGGTGCTGGGACAGAGCTGCCGTCCGGCCTGCGAGTGCGGAGCAGCGCGCTGGAGAAAGGGAGGTGCAGGTGGCTCCACAGGCACCCCTCCTCTCCTCTCCTCTCCCACCCCGGCCACAAGCTCTCTAACCACCTGAGAGGAGCTACCGGGGCTCCTCTTGGTATCACAGAGAGCCACAGCCCCCTCCCCATACCTCCACTTCTCCTTCTCCCTGTAGAATTCACTTTTTATAACAAAATAACTCACAGAATCCCAGAACCATCTGGGTTGGAAAAGCCCCTGAAGCTCCTCCAGTTTGGGGCTGTGGGGTACTGGGCACCACTGGGCAGCTGGAGGGACGGTACAGGACAGCAGGGATGGCTTCGGAAAACTCCTTCACCTTGGCAAGGAGCTCGTGTGTGGGACTCCGACACCCTCCTGGTGTGGCTCTGGGTGCCCCCCCAGCGCTGCCGTCCGGGTATTAAAGGTGGAGAAAAGTTGGAGAGGAGCAGGGGGCGGAGAGCGAGGCACGGAGTCAGGCAGCATGGGAGCGCGACCCGGGGGCTAGGCAAGGGAGACATTTCTCCAGTTATTTACCATAATAGGTATTTTCAGTGCAGAACTGCTGATATTTGGGGCACGCAAATCTCATGATTCACCCGCGCTCCCGATCAAACTCGCCACGCTCCGCCTGAGGGGCAGCAGGGAGAGCAGCTCCGCTCTGAAGGCGGACAGGAACCGAAAGGACAACTGCCTGCTCAGAACCTACGCCCGGCTGGGTGGGAATCGAGAGGAAACGCAACGACAAAGCTCCTCAGTGCAGCATTAAGATCCACCCTCGCCCTTCCCCAGAGCAGAGCAGCACAAACTCAGAAAGCGGAAGCGCCGGTACGCGCCAGCGTCACCTGAATGATCTTTTTTTCCCCCACTTCCTCCTCGCAGCACGATGCCGGGCGCTGAAGGGCAGGCGCAGGGGCCCGACGAGCTCAGGGAGGTGCGATGCCGGGCGCAGGACGCTCCACCAGCCCCTTCCCTGCCCCGAGCAGGGGCTGCGCGGCGCACGGCAGCACCCGCGCCTTGTCGGGGAAGTTGCGGCATTAAGCTGCAATCCAGGAGCAGCAGGAGAGTCAAAAACGCTGTGAGAGACAGACGGCTGCTGTCTGGGGGTGAAGGGGCTGTAGGGCCAAGAAGATGCAGGGTTACTTGTAGGAAACAGGTCCCAAACGTGTCTCCTTTCCAATACAGATTAACCAAGCAGATTTTTAGACTGAGGCGCTGCCAGCCCGCCTGGGCCCAGAGCATGCCGCTGTTTAACACCTCGCTGCTACCACCTAAGCCAGCCCTTCCCCGGTTACCCCAACACAGAGTCTGTAAAGCCCCACGTCCAAAACACCATCAGATTCACAATTAACCAAAGGTTTTTTTCTGAGGCAGCAACGTGGCATCTGGATGCAGGCCAGGGCTCAGGCTGAACACCCCCGGCTTCACCCACGTCCCCGGGGAGCTCACGGCACGGGACGGGCCCGTCATCGGCCCCACAGCCCAGACTTTTTTCCTGTCACCAAAATAACGAGCTAGATGGGACGGCACCAAGAGCCAGGGCTGGCGCAGCACCGGGGCGGCCACTCAAACCCTGCTGGGAGGAGGGGACTGGCACCCACCCGCAGCTCGGCGCCGGGAAGCGGCCGCGTCTGGATGCAGGGTCGGGGCTGGTTTTCCTTGCCCCAGTTTTAGCCCCCTTGCCCCGGCGGTGGGGTCCAGCCCGGCCTGGGCAGCCGTAACCCCCTGCCGCCACACGCGGGCACAGAGCAAACAGCACAGCCCACGCGGGCCCCGCCGGCGCGTGGCGAGCTGCTAAAAGCGTTCTGGGGAGGAACCTGCTCTATTTTTACCTGATGCCAAATTCCACTTACTTCTCAGGGGAGCTATTAGCCAGCTCCACTGGCACCCTGTCCCGATAATTACAGGGCCACGCCACCAACATTTACCCAAGGACTAAAAACAGCACGTGCTGCGCCGATGGCTCCTCCTGCCCTGCCACCGCCCGGCAGTGCCAGCGGGGACCCGCCGGTCCCTTCAAAAACCTGCCCAAGGCACAGAGGCCAGGCCCAGCCCCGCTCATGGAGCAGCCATGGGGATACGCTCGTGCCTCCACCCAACAACCACCGTGACGCTCAGTCTCAAGTTTTGGGACCTTCCAGCCCCCTGCGCACAGAGGTCTCGGGAAGAATCACAGAAAGCTGCGTATTCCCCTCAAAACCCGCACAGGAGCAGCGCGTATCCTGAAACCCGGCACGGTGCTGGTGGGCTGGGGGGGCACCGACAGCCCCAGGGCCCCAGCCTGGGATTGCAGCTCCCGGGCATCGCGGCACAAGACAGCAAATTAGAAGTTTTAATGAAGGCGCGTCCGAGAGCTTCAGCAGGACTCAAAGCTCCGTGTCAGACACCCCGAACTCACGCAGTTGGGATGAACACCCTGGCACAGACAGAACCCCAGAACCATCTGGGTTGGAAAAGCCCCTGAAGCTCCTCCAGCCCCACCATGACCCTCCCCCTGACCGTTCCCAGCTCCCCCAGATCCCTCAGCGCTGGCTCAGCCCGACTCTTCAACCCCTCCAGGGATCCCGGGGACTCCCCCCTGCCCTGGGCAGCCCATTCCAACGCCCAAAAGCCCCTTCTGCACAGAAATCCTTCTGAAGTTGGGCCCAAGGCTGGCTGGATGGCTCCAGGAGAGGCTCTGACAGGGACAGCTGCTGTCCTCCCTCTCCCAGGACACCGACAACAAGGAGGGGACACCAGCCTCCAGCTGACCAGAGAGGAGGGAGGGCTCAGAGCTGCACCTGCTCCCAGCAAACCCGCACCAGCCTGAGCCCGTCTGTGCTGTGCTTTAGCTTAAGCCCACACCTGGAACAGCCCTCGTCCCCCAAATCCTCCACCAAACCCCACATGCTGCCCGAGGACCTTGGCCACAGCACCCGGTGACCTGCCCCGGGGTCCACACCTCCTCCACAGTGGAAACCACCAAAACAGCAAGTGCAAACTCGACGTTATTTGTATTTTGAGATAAATCTGCCTTCACTGCTTTACTCCACTCCCTGATG